ACTTTATGTGTAATAATTCATTTAACAGTTACTCTTATTATCTCTATTGTAAAAAATAAATTTAAAAACTTGACCAAGGTCACATGTCAGAAAATAGCAGAGACAGAATTTGAGCCAAAGGATGTGGCTCCAAAGCCTACACTCCCATTGCTACCTTCCACGACTAGTACTTGTACCACTATTCCTACTTCTGCTACTAATATGGCTACTTGCACGCTGCTTTAGTGCTTATCACATTGCTTTATATTTTATTAATTTATGTGTATTGCCCTACAACTAGTTTAAGAGCTCCTTGAGAGTGATTTATTTATCTTTCCTGGTCATCTAGCATACCTGGCCCATACTAAAAACTCATTAAATATTTCCTGAAGAATGAATTATAAAGCCCAATAAACATGTGACTATTTTAAGAATTATAAATGACCTAAAAGATCCTTTTTTACAACTGTACTAATCTCCATCACTCTATGGATCTGTTTTATACTCTGGATATAAATCTCAAGAATTAGAAAAAATTGACACACCTTATGTGTGTGTATACATATGTACATGTAGAGGCATATGTGTAGGTATATACAGAGACAGAAAGAGACAAAAAGACCTGTTTGTTCAGTCTTTTGTGATTGTAAGTAGAAAAGGACAGCAACTAGTTTTCACTGTTAAAGTGTATTGATGCTCTTATTCCCTTAAGCTCACTTAGTTTACTTGGTTTTAGCATGTCTGAAAGTTGGCAGAAGAAACAAGCCATCAGAATACTTAAATGGGATCTTTGTGACATTTTTAAAGCATTAATGACAGGCAAGGAGAGGATTCTTTCAGGTATTAATTTTCTGCCAACTAACCACATGTTTACATACATTAAGGCTATTTTTCATACAAGGGCCATATGGTTGACTACATAGGATTAAGAGGCAAAATTAAAGGGTGAATTTTAAGCTCCTTCTCTCATACTTTTCAAATGCTGTGATGAGACTTGCACTAACCCTATAAAAAATTGGAAGTTTCCTATTTGCTGTGGGATATTCTCTAGCATATCTCCAAAGTAAAGAAAAATAAAACATCAAAAATAGTTGTAATGGTGAAAAATAACTAGTTTTGGTCTAAAAATATATTTTTCTCAATGAATTAAGCCATATCTCATCAATTCAACATTTCGTTTATCTAATTAGAAATCTAAATAACATGTTTACTACTTCTAACAACAAAGATTTCTATGTAAAGTCTTTCCTTTATGAAACTGAGTATTTGGAGATGAGTGAGGAAAAGTTGTTTCTCTTGAGGAAGAAAGCTTTTCCTCATTAAAAATTAGGACCAAAAGAAGTATTTGATTTGAGTAAGTATAGGTATAATGTAGGCAATTATGCAATTGAAAATAACAAACAGTATTGAATGTCTACTCTGTGACATATGAATCTACTGTGTATTGCCAATATAGAAATTAATCTTATTATTTACTTTTAATAATAGCTACCATTTTATGATCATCATATCCATCAAATGTGGAATAGACAATGCTGGCCCTGTGGTGTAGTGATTAAGTTCATGTGCTCTGCTTCAGCGGGCTGGGGTTCACAGGTTCGGATTCCAGGCTTGGACCAACACACGCTTGTCAAGCCATCCTGTGGCGGCATCCCATGTAAAGCAGAGGAAGATCGGCACAGATGTTAGCCCAGGGCCAATCTTCCTCAGCAAAAAAAAGAGGAGGATTGGCAATGGATGTTAGCTCACGGCTGATCTTCCTCACACTCACACACAAAAAATGGAATAGACAAATAAATTATGGGATATTTATTATATTCATAAATAATATATAGTAATGAGAAAAAAAACAATTATTGCTTCAAGCATCATAGATGGATCTCACTAGCATAATCTTGAGCCAAAGAAGCCAAACACAAAGAGGGATTATTTGTGGTTCCACAGAAGTTCAAAGCATACAAAAATTAAGAGAAGTCAAGATAGTGCTTATGTTTGTGGAGGAAGGCAGTTAATGATGACAAGAGAGGCATGACTAAGGCTTCTGATTTACTGGTGATGTTCTATTTTTTGATCTGGTTGGAAGTGACTCAGGTGTGTTCACTTCGTGAAAATTTATTAAGCTGTAACTCTCTACAAGTATACAAGTCAATAACATTTGTACATCAAAGACAAAGTAAAAGTAGGAAGTGATTCAGAAGAGAGATGACTTTAGAAAACTATGAAGAATGTAATTAATATGGTTGATTTCAGATGAGAATTAAGTTTAGATGTACATTAAGAAATAGTTATTAAATTCCATAATTAGAATATCATTGGTGACTTTCATAAGAGCATTTTCTGTGGAGTGCTGGGGGTTGAAATCAGATTGTAATGTGCTGAAGAAGGGATGGGTGAGATGGCAGTGTTAAGGAATGCCTTCTTCTTTCTGAAATTTTAAGGTCTTTTTGCAAGGCATATAGAGTTGCATTGGAGAGATCCCAGAGTTTTTCTAAATATCTTGCTCTCTTCTTCAACTAGCGTTTTAGTTAAATCATTAGAGAAATAGATAACTTTTTCCTAACTTAAGTACAATCACAACAAATGATTTTATTTCTATCTAGTATAGCCTGTGTGACCTCTGGAGTAGATTGGCCAGTAAAAAATAGAATGCTGTTATACATTTTTGGCATTCATCTAATAGACTTAATGGCTAAAATTTTGGGGAGGATTTTTTTTATAGTCTTAGTATGAGTTTAATGTGTCTATTTATTCTCAACCGTGACTCAAAACATACATTTGAAAATTTCCATTATGACTCAGCTAGGGCAAATAAAATGTGCTCTTAGTAGCTGTAGCTATAACCAATGCCTAATGGACATTTCCCATTGTTCAAAAAATAAGGTGGTCTTGCATCACAATGGGAGCTGTCTATTAACCATTGGCTGTAGCTATACTAAAAGCAGTTTTAGGAATAATTCTACTGATAATGAAATCATTATATAGAGTAGAGATCATATAATGATGGCCTTTGGGTCAATTCAGCGTACAGATGAGTTTCATTTGCCACATTCTTTAGTTATTTGTGGTTATTATATTTAAATGCCATAATGCCATGAGGCAGTACCTATGCTCTTTAGATTGCCACAATTCCTGGTGCTTTATTATTTCTGCCTTCCAGGATAAAGTATAGAGTAGTGACTAAAAGTGTGAGGTCTGGAGCCAGCCCACCTGGGTTTGAATCCCGGTTCTATCAATTATTACGTGACCTCGGGAAGTTACTTAATATTTCTGTACCTCTGTTTTCTCCTCTTCAAATTAGAATAGTATAATTTTGTGCCTATTAGGTAAAGATATAAATTCCAAAATTATAGAGCTTGATAGTGTTTAGCATTGGAACAATATGAAGATATAGGAACCCTAATTCCTTGCTGCTGGGATCATAGAACCAGTACAGCCAATCTAGAAAGCAAGGTGGCAGAGCTTAAACTAGTTACATGTATGTACATGCTTTGATCTCAATTATATGCTCCTGTGTATATATATCCCAAAGAAATTTCCACACAAGCACCTAAGGGAGCATGTAGGAGGACATTTATTGGAACATTTGAAAAAAGGGAACAAATGGAACAAAAATTAGAACATTTGCTTAGAGTGGCAGAAATAGGAAGAAACCTGGATATTTATAGCTGGAGGAGTGGACAGATAAAATTCAGCAGATACACATTATGGAGTACTTTGCAGCAGTTAGAAACAATAAATTAAATGCATGTATAGCAACATGGGTGGAATTTAAAGGCCTAACATTGACTGAGAAAAGCTAGAAACAGAATGAATTCCAAAGCAAAACACCATTTACATAAATGAAAAATACATGTACAAAAATACGTATTTTGCAAATCCCCAAACAAAAAGACAAAGATTAAACACATTTTGAATCTTAACTCTAAGTGGGGGAGGCAGAGACGAATGACAGTGGGGGAGGGTATGAGGATAAATAGGGATAAATAAGTAAAACACAGAGAATAAAGATATTGATATGCCATGAACTGTTGGGGTATTCTGAGCTCCTTCTGTTGCACCTCAGGTCCAAAAATGAAATTAAGTAAAATTAAATGGAAAGTGGATCGTATAGTACTTTCCTCATAAAAGATGTGGTGAGGATTAAATGATTTAAGACTTTAAAAAGCACTTCCAATATTGCCTAGCACATGAGTATTCAATAATCTTTGCTATTCACTCACATGTGTAACTTGCTTAGCTTTGGAAGGCATTTTAGTTGTGAAGCCAGGTATAAAAGAGTGCTCATTTGGAAAAATATTTTAACCTTAAATTACCTGTTTATCTGTTTTACCATGATGTCGATAAATAGTTAAGGATTCGATAGTTATAACATTCCTATTTCTTCTTTCATCTTCATTTAACTGATCTTTTCTCCTTATAGCTATAAGAATTTCAGGTACTCACATATAATTGTGTATATCTTCAAATGCACTACAAGAAGAGAAAGACGTTTGCTTAGAGCATAAGGGATTTTAGCCAACGTAAAATGAATTAGAGGGTTTTAATTCACAAGGGTTCAAATTCATTTAGGCCTGTCATATCCTACAAAGGAAAATCACCAACCAGAAAGGGGCAGTCAGGCATGATATTAAACAGCTGAACGTGTCAAAATAATCACTCTGTCGTTATGGAGTCCCATTCAGGACATCCGTGCTTGAGCTGTTGCCATTGTATGGGATTTTCACCCTACTTGATAAATGGGTCTGTTTTTTCTAATATAATTATCATGAAGTTTTCTCTGAAATGCAAATTTAAACTGAATAAGTCCACTGAACTATAATTCTTGAAATATTTGATTTAAGTATTAAATAAATTTGATTTGTAATATAGGTTTCCATGTGCAGGGAATGCTATTTTTTGACATTTATTGATATAAGATAGAATTGTATGTACTTACTAAAGAATAGCAGTTTTCTTCCTGTCAACCTTAAAAACAAAACAGCCAGTTGCTTTACCAGCAAAACAAGTTTATTTGGGAATAGCCAAAGAATTGCAATTTGGGATGTGTATGCTATGGCAGAGCATGGGTAAATCCAACAAATAAGGGAGAGGAATGTTATTTTATCGAGAAAAAGGAGGAAATTGGGAGGGGTTGTTTTGAACGAAAGTCCATTGGGGAAAAGTAAGAGTTCAGGGTGGTGATAGTTTCTCATTGGCTGAGCTGCTGGGGTAGTCGATTTCTGTTTGGGACGCACTGTACAATTCTTCCTGTAGTTAATGATTCTTTCCTATTGAGGGCTTTCTGTTGAGGTCTGTAATTGATGATTTTTCCTGTTGAGAATTCTTTCTGTTGGGGTCTGTAATTGACTATCTTTCCTGTAGTTGAGCACCCATGGTAGTGCCTGGAGCTCCCCCCTCTGGCCTCCTGACTCCATTTTAAATAACGTTCCTCTGTATTAATTTTCACACTTCCCAACTACCTGAACTTCTGAATAGAAATAATTAGACAACTGCAAGGTACATTCCTCATAGAGACATATGAAAGCCAGTGGTTTTTTAAGCTCAGCAGTATGTTTCCAGAAAGGTTCATTTTCAGGTCATTCAGCAGCCTGACATCAGTGAAGTGAAAAACTCACTGAATTATTAAGAAAGAACAACTTTCTTTAACATTTCCCTTTAGAGTTAGTGAGGAAAAGCAGAGAAAAAAGTAATAAACTTCTATTATGTAATCAAAAACATATTTGGAGTAGTATGTGATCAGAAAAGAGACTCATTGTCAGTTCTCACAAGCTATGGTTTTATCAAGGGACCTGGAAATATTTTGTTTTATCTTAGCAAATTCAGAGTAAGACAGACAATGTAACGAATTGCTTCTTAGTGAAGTCTTTTAGTCTGATTACCAAACAAAAGATTTACAGACAGTCATTCAGACAGGGGTATATATTCTCTTTTGAATCATATTTACTTGTAGTGTATATTTACTCCAAAATATTTCTTGCAACTTGGGTATGTTTATACTTTGTTGTTTATTCTTACTTGATGAATCAAAAATCATCAACAGTCTAATATCCCACTGACTCTGGCAGTCAAAAGTTTAGTTGATACAGCGCATTCATGCATTAGTTATTATCTGAACTATTACATAAGTCATAAAAGGCTTGATACATTTTAAAAACTGATGCTGATATATTAAAAAAGAAAAAAAAACACAAAGAACGCTTCTCTGCAGAAATGCACTGGTTACTACTGAGAGTTTAGATAACAACAAAATACTGCAATGTGATTATACACAAAATGAATGACTATACGGTGTTATAAAAGCTTGAAATTACTTCTTTGAATAAAAACACTGTTTCCTATATGTTAAAGTAACACATTGGCTTTTCATTTTTATCTTGATTATTTTTATACTTTAAAAACATTTGTATTTTTCATATTATAAAAGTAAAATAGACTCATTTAGAAGAAATTTGAAGCTGTCAAAATTATCAAGGAAAATATTAAAATAACCTATAATTTTAAAAACTATGTTTAATATTTATTTTCCCAGTCTTATTTCTTCTTTTTTCAAATTTTTAAAAATTAACTTAGAATTATACTATATAAACTCATTTGCTATTCCCAATTACATATATCATGAAATATTTCTACAAGTATACATGTTTTTAACATATCATTCTCATGACTGCATAATACTCTATTGTGTGAGTATTCTATAATTTAATCATTAACAATAAATATTTATAGTGTTTTTATTTTGTAAACATTTTCATATAACAAATTCGAGATTGGAAATTTCTGTAATGAAACACATATCTTTTTAAGTTTCTTAATACTATTAGCACATTGTTTCACTTAAAGCTTGTAAAATTTGCAACTCCCTTAGCCGTATTGAGTGTCTCTTTCCTCACATACTTGCCAACATTATTATTTTAAGTTTTTATTGTTTTCATTTGCATTTCTGTAATTCCTATTGAAATTCAATATTTTTGTCAAATGATTGTTATAATTGTTCCTTTTCTAAATTTTCTCTTATGATAGCTGTGGCCTCTGTATTTGGAGGTTTTATATTTTTTTCTAATCAATTTGAATGAATTCCCTATAATAATGATATTAACTTTTTGTTTGTCATATTTGTAGAATACATCTTTTATTTTGTTAATGTTTTTCACCTTTATAAATGACATTTATTTAATTATATGTAATGATTATTTAGTTAGTCTTGATTGCTTGTACACTTAGAAAAGCTTTCCTCATTCCTAAATTAGAATTATATTTACTCATGTGTTTTTATCCTATTTTAAAGGTTTCTATTTTTTACATTCAATTTTTCTAGATTTAATCATGGCATATAATGTGAGATAAAATATCCAAGATTTCCTTGCAAGCATTTATTGTATTGTCCGGTTATTATTTTTTTACCCACTGATTTAAATTTCAAGACAAATATATATGAAATTTAATATTAATAGGTTTATTTATACACTATATATATGTTCTTTTTTTGTGTGAGGAACACTAGCCCTGAGCTCACATCTATTGCAAATCCTCCTCTCTTTGCTGATGAAGACTGGCCCTGGGCTAACATCTGTGCCTGTCTTCCTCTACTTTATATGAGACGCCACCACAGCATGGCTTGATGAGTGGTGCATCGGTCCGCACCCGGGATCCGAATCTGCAAACCCTGGGCCACCAAAGCGGAGCATGTGAACTTAACCGCGACACCACCGGACCGGTCCTACACACTAGATTTTTAAATGATCTTCCTAAATATTCTTTTAACAATACCGTAGTCTTGTACTAATTGATGCTTTGGAGTGTGTCGTGTTAATGTATTGCTGGGCCAGCTCCCATCACCACCACTACCACTTCTTCTCCTTCTTTTTCTTTTCCTTTTCCTTCTCCTCTTTCCCTCTTTCTCTCTCCCTCTTCCTCTTCCACCTTCTTCCTTTTCTCATCCTCTTTCTCCTCCTCTTCCTGTCTTCCTTTATTTTCTCCTTTTTCTCTTCATTTCTTCTCTTTTTCCTACTTTTAAGTTCTTAGCTTTTGTTTGTTTCTAATTTGTTAAATAGCATGAAGCTCTGACATTATCTCCTTAAAAAATTATGTATGTAAGTAGATATGTTTCTGAGGAGGATAAAAGCAGATGTGATATTTATTTAGAATATCCCATACGTTATACTGTTTTCCTAACTCATTACTTCATGCACATGTGAGGACACACAAGTAGAAATCAATGCTTGATAATGAACACTGTACTCAGTACTAAATGTTCCTTCACCTTGGAAAGAAGGATGAAAACCGTATGTTATAATTAAACAATTGAGAAATGCCCATTGTGGACGTACTCCTTTTTCCAGCTCAATCTGTTTTATAGCTGCCAACACATCAGTTTAAAAAAAATCCCATCTTCAATAGCAGCACATCAGCATATTCTGATAGTTGCTATTTTTTGAAATCACATTACCAAATATTAGTTGTTCTCTGAACTTTCATTTGATTATTTATCTATTCACTCATTGTACAAACATTTATTGAGTGCCTTTTGTGCACCTAGGATATGGGCCCTACTTTTGTTGGGTGATGTTTGAATAAGGGTGGGATGGTGTGGGGATAGACCAACCACAAGTAACAGATGCATGCATAAGATCAATACTGGTTGTAGTGAGCATCATGGTAGAAATAAAAATAACAAAAGCAAATTGTATGTGAGAGAGAGCTATAGTGGTGAGGCTACTTTAGATAAGGTAATGAGGGAACACCTTGCTAGTTGACATTTGATTTGTGACCATGTGACTCTAGGGAGACAGATATCCCCTAAGTAAAGATGGAGGCTAGGGAGCTGGATACTGTTCAACTGTGAAGGAATTTTGTGGGCCATGGATGGTAGTTTGGTTTTATTCTGAATGAGTTAAGAAACCATTGCAGGATTTTAAGAGAAGGAATGACATTAAGGTTGAAGAAATTCATCTAGTGCCTTGTGGAAAATGGATAATATGGGGGACAGGATGATTGACTCAATAATGTAATAGTCCAGGTGAGATATGATGGTGACTTGGAATAAGGTTTGACTTGGAATAAGATTATGTCTTATTCCAAGTGGAAATGAAGAGGACTTTGAAAATTTATGATCTATTTTGAAGAAAGTATTGACAGAACAGGTTGATAAAGGGAATGCAGGGGATGAAATAAATAGGCAAATTGGCATCTTAAGTATTTTGCTTGAGCTGTTGTATGGACGGTTGTGCCATTTACTGAGAAGGGGTAGACTGGGAGAGAGAGAGATTTGGATCAGGGTGGAGATTAACTGTGCTGTTTTAGCTATGAAATGCCTAAATAGCTGTGCAAGCAGAGATGTTCAGTAGGTAGGTGGATATGTATTGCCTTATCTCAAAGGAGAATTAGAGCCAGAGGTTAAAAAAAATAATAATAACAATTTTTTTTTAAATCCTCTATCATCATCATCATCAAGGAGGTATTCAAAACCATATGTCTGGATCGGTCCTGTAATGGAAGCATGTAAGTAGATAACAGGGAATGGAATTAAACCTTGATACATTATATTACATTATGATACTTTATTTCATGTTTTTTCAACTAGCATAAAATATTTTTCCAGCTTTATTGAGATACAATTGACATATAACGTTATGTAAGATTAAGGTGCACAATGTAATGATTTGATATGTGTATATATTGCAAAATGATTACCACAATAAGGTTGGTTAACACATACATCAACTTTTATGGTGAGAACTTTTAAAATCTACTCTCTTAGCAACTTTCAAATATACAGTACAGTATTGTTAACTATAGTCACCATGCTGTACATTACATCCCCAGAGGTTATTCATCTTATAACTGGAAGTTTGTACTCTTTGAGCACCTTCACCCATATCCCCTACACTCTACCCCTTGCCCCTGGCAACCACCCATCTGTTCTCTGTTTATTTGGGTTCAGCTTTTTTAGATTCTACATTCAACTTATACTGCAGGTTTTATTTTAAAGCATGTTTTTTTTCCATTTCCCAAATGCTCTGGAGTAATCTGTCTTCACATATATTAACCACCTTGAAATTATGTTCTTCCCCTTCTATGCACATAGCTTATTCACAGACACTGTGCTACATCAACCTCTGATTCAATTCAACAATTTTAGATGAAAACTCATTTCCGTGAGTACTCTGGGTAATGTTTTGTAATTATTTGTTTGTTTCCAATTGTTATCCACTACCAGTAATGTTTTCTGGTATTGGATAATGCATGGTAAACCTCCCTAAATGCTATGATGAGCTCACATGTCTCAGCCATTGAGAAATTTAGACATGATCATAATCCTATAACTCTTTAATGGGTACTTGGTTAAAACATGTATCAGCCCAAAGATCCTGCATTCAGTTTTCTCTTTCTTTGTCACATGCTTTATATACTTGTAGAAATTCCTATAGGCACACATGTAATATGATTGTGGTAGCAATGTTTATAATCCCTTGAATCAACAGATCCTGGTTGCTTGTTCTGTGTGATCAGAACATTTTTTGCATAAAGGAATTAGTAAATATGATTATGTTAAGCAATGATAATCACAAATAACTTACATAATGCTTTCCACTGCAATTTCCCTACAGTTTCTTTTAATCTTCACAATAAAGCAGTCAGGTAGGTGAAGCAGAGATATTATAGCTGAGGTAATTGCAGCTAAAAGAGAATAGTGCAGTTACTGAGTCTCATATTTGTTAAACAGCAGAGCTATGATTGGAAAAAAAAGTTTCCAAAGTTCAGTCCAAATCCAATTCAGAAATGAAACACTGTGAAAGAGAAAGCAAAATGCACTTATTTAAAAGTGTATCATTCTTAGTAGAAAGAGTTCTCAAATAAAAATTAGTATATATGGTATCTAGGCCTGGTTCGGCCTCTTAGATTAGGTATATGTCACTGGAAAAGACACATCACATCCATAGACCTCAGAATTTTTCATCTGTAAATGAAGAAGAAATGGACTTCATTCAATCATTTATTTATTCAACGGACACTTGATTTTGTGCTAGGTATAGTCTTCATCACCTAAAACTAGTATAGAAGACAGACTGATTAGAATTAAACGTTATCAGTGCATTGAAAGAGATGTTCCCCAAGATGCAATAACAATTTGTAGGTGGGACATTTAATCTGGACTCCATTCATTCCATCAAAAATGTTATGGACTGCTTTTTTATGTTCCAAGAATTGTTCCAGACGCTGAAAAGGCAAACGTGGATATTGAAGGATTGGAAAGGTTAAGAGTTAGCTCAGTGAAAAAGGAGTGATGAGAGACTGGAACAGGACATATCAGGCAGAAGAAACAGCAGCAGCAAGTACTAAGCAAGCTTGCAGGTGAGACTGGAATGGGAGATAAGAGTCTTTTCATGAAGGGCTATCTCTTGCCTTGGGCTGAAGTAGATCATTGATCCTAAAATCGGGGGGGAACTGGAGAAGTAAATAGGAAAATGGCATGGTCAGATCTACATGTGAAAACAATCACACTGGCAGCATTGTGAATGGTGGATTAGGGGAGCCAGCTCTGGAGACAGAGAGGTGATTTAGGAGACTGCTGTAAGGCACTGCTCACCTTGTCTCTTTGGAGGAAAATGTGGCAATATCCATAAATATTGAAGATGCTCATTCTCTTAAACCAATTAATTCCGTTTTGAGGGAATGTTCCCACAAATAGGTTCAAGTGTGTTAGGGGGATACAGTACTATTTGAAATAGCAAAACATTGTTAAAAAAACTGTGTTTCAGTGCTACACTAATGGTTATTTAAATTATGGAACATCTGTGCTATATAGGGATGAAAAATAATACAGCAGATGTATGTGTAATGAAAGATAATAATTGAAAAGCTATGTTGTTAAATGAAAAAAAGCAGAGAGGAGCAGGAAAGGTATTTATAAAGAGTTGAATGCACAGTTAGCTGAATAGCACCAGCATGAGAAGAATGAATGGAATAAGAAAATCTAGGCAAGGAGACAACATAAGTAAACAAAAAAATGGAAAAACATCAAAAGAGAATTTGAAACAAAAATAAAAGTGAGTTTTATGAATGAAAGAATTGATAAATGATGTCACATACTACAGAGACACCAATTAAGATAGGGCTGGAAAGTATTCCATGAGATTTAGTTACAAGGAGGTTATAGGCAGCTTTGATAACTGAGGTCATAGATAGCTTTGATAATTGTTCAAATAATTTAGGCTTATAGAGTTTCTGGCTTTCCATTCTTTAAGCAACTTAAAGAAGAGGTGAGCTTCTGGTGAAGGTTTCCTTTAAGGACAAACGTATCCACCATTACCACCGTACAGTATAAATGTAAAATAATCTCACGTCCTGAGATTTAATATATTTATGCCAATCAATCAAAGTTTGCCATCATTCTTTGAGAGTGAGCCAGACACTGCTCTTCATTTGGAGTTGTGAGTTCCGTAAGGCTTCAGTACATTGTCGCTTTGTCTTCATGTGCAGTCTCTGTAGATGGGTGAGATTGGCGAAGAAGCACCCAAGTGAAACTAAGTATCCAAGTTCACATTTACAGAGTCGTCCTCCATCTGAGCAACATGTTTGTCAAAATAATTTCTCTGGGGTCAATTCTGGGTCCTTTTTGGTGGTAATACCGTGGTGGAGTTAGTTAAACATTGTTCCAGAAGCTATAATAGAGAGATGATGGTTGCACTTGCTTGATTGGCTTTCTCATTCCGGATATATATTTAGATTTTGTTATTCTATATGGGCATGTATCTGGACAACTTAAAAATTGAATTTGTGACTAAATTGTTATGTCTGTTTCTATAATCATGGTTCAATAATAAAAGAGCGTGATGTAGACATGAGCAAATCTGACAGAATTCTACAGCCATCCACTTTGATGACGTTAATTTGCTGACAGCCAATGACACTGGGTTGAACTTCAGGTGATACTCTTGGCCTTAGAGTACACAATCCTAGGACCAATAGAAGCCGCACTACTAAGGGAACACCCGTGGGGCATCCCCCATGTGTGATATAAAAATTGAGTCTGTGATTATGTTATTGCTTCCATGAGGGTGCTGTTTTTTACTTTCAGCTCTTCTTGTGGCGTGTAGTCCTGTGGAGCTGTGGTTTTCATTTGCATTTCCCTGATATCTAATGTGCATGTTAGTCGTTTGGACATCCTCTTTTGTAAAGTTCTGGTTTAAAGTATTTTAACTTTTTATTTCATTAAAAAGTTGATAAGTTATTTAACAATAGCCATTTTCTATTTATCTTTGCATTATTGATTTCAAGTTTAATTATTTTGTGGTCAGAGACTGTATTCTCTATAACTTGACTAATTTAAATATTTTTGAGACTAGCCGTATATTCCAGAATATGGTCTACTTTAGCAAATATTCAAATGGTCACTTAAAAGTATGTGTCTTATGCACTTGTTTGCACAGTTCCAAATGTGAAGAATTAAGCCAAGTTGGCAAATAGTACATCTTATAAATCATCTCTATCATTACTGATTTTGTCGGCTTTTTTTACTTAAGAAGGTGTGTTAAAATCTTCAGCTATGATTATGTATTTGTTTATTTTTCCATTTACTTTTGTCAATTTTTGCTTTCTATATTTTGAGGTTCTATTATTTGTTATACACACGTTTAGAATTGCTTTCTTTGTGTTGAATTGTCCCTTTTATCATCAAAAAGAAGCCAATTTATCTCTTGCAATATTCCTTCCTTAAAATCTACTTTGGAATTGTTATGGCAACTTTCTTTTGCTTAATGTTCGCATAGTATATCTTTTTTCATCATTTGCTTTCATGCTTTTTATATTCTTGTATGTGACATTTGTTTAGTATAATATAAACAGCATATTTTTAAACCAGTGTCACAATCTTTTTCTTTTGATTTAAGTATTTAGTTCATTTACATTTAAAGAATTTATTATGTTTAAGTTTAAGTCTGTCATCTTGCTATTTGTTTTCTGTTTGTTCCGTCTCTTCTTTCATCCCTTATTCATCATTTTTTGTTTTCTATTGAATCAATTGAGCAGTTTTAGAATTGATTTTGTCCTTCTCAAGTGGCTTTTTAGCTACTGATTTTTATTATTAATTATACAGTTAAACTTGATATCAACATACATTCTTGATTCATTGTAGTTTATTTTAAAATAGCACTTTTACTGTTTCCCCAAAAATTCAAGAAACTTTCTACTATTTAACTGTATTTCCCTATCCCTCTAGCCTGTTATGCTATTTTGTCATATATTTTACTTCTACACAAGTTTTAAACCCTACAGGGGAAGCACAGCTTGTAATGATTAAAAAAAGCACATCATGTTCCTCCTTAAAGATAAATCAGTAAAGTTGCATTCTGAAAATTCTTAGGAGACACAGCCAAAAAGATGAAAAAAAGTACACTGTCACTTTTCAGTGTAGTCATAGGCACACAGAACTCTGAGTCTGGCAATCCTCGCAATTGTAAAGCTGAAATTTATTACCCTACTAGTCAAGACCTTTTAAAATGTGTTCTTCTAATTTATTCTTAGCCTAAAGATCCAATTTATTTCCCACTTTTCTACATTTAAACATTTTAGTGAATCTCCAATGTGATTATTCCTTTAAATGCATTGCACTTGTCTACTTTTCTGATTTTGTTTTTGCTGTTTCCTCTTCCTAGCCTTGTATTTTCAGATGTTTGAACCATATGTTTACTTTAAGTCCCAAAT